GTGACCAGGTGCGTTTGAATGAAAAGCACACCTAGCATTGGAGTCATAGTTCCTTGGTAGACTGTTGGGATCCGGAGGTGCCAACGTTCTTAGCTCAACTAGGTTGAGTTTCAGAAGTTGTGGCAGCAAGGCGGCATACGGCATTGGGATCGGGTCGATCACTCTGTTAGCTTGGGATGGCCTTTGCTGGAATGGCCTCTGTTGATTGTTGTTGGTGTTGTTGCTGTTGTAGTTCCTTGGAGGATATTGATTCTGATACTGAGTAGGGGGTAACACCTACTAACATAAGTAGGGGGCAACACCTACTAATATAAGTAGGGGGTAACACCTACTAACTTAAGTAGGGGGTAACACCTACTAACTTAAGTAGGGGTAACACCTACTAACTTCAGTAGGGGGCAACACCTACTAATGTTAGTAGGGGGTAACACCACTAATATAAGTAGGGGGTAACACCACTAATATAAGTAGGGGGTAACACCTACTAATTGTAGTAGATGGTAACACCTACTAACATAAGTAGGGGGTAACACCTACTTATGTTAGTAGGGGGTAACACCTACTTATGTTAGTAGGGGGTAACACCTACTTATTTTAGTAGGTGTTGCCCCCTACTTATGTTAGTAGGTGTTACCCCCTACTAACATTAGTAGGTGTTACCCCCTACTAACATTAGTAGGTGTTACCCCCTACTAACATAAGTAGGGGGCAACACCTACTAACTTAAGTAGGGGGCAACCCCCCACTAACATTAGTAGGTGTTACCCCCTACTTATGTTAGTAGGTGTTACCCCCTACTAACATTAGTAGGTGTTACCCCCTACTAACATAAGTAGGTGTTACCCCCTAACATAAGTAGGGGGCAACACCTACTAACTTAAGTAGGGGGCAACACCTACTAACATAAGTAGGGGGTAACACCTACTAATGTTAGTAGGGGGTAACACCTACTAACATAAGTAGGGGGTAACACCTACTAATGTTAAATATCCTTTTTCCATGAATGTTCCCGATGTGTATCTACAAATCTTTTCAAAAGATTTGAAGGAGAACTCATTAGGTTTTTTAATTAAAATTCCTCCCCATCCTAACTCACTACCATCCGTTTCTATTATCAGGTAATCTGTTAAAGCTAGGGGTTCTAATTTTGTAATTGCCTCTTTTATTTTTTGGACAATTTTTATATCTTGATCAATTAAGTGTAAATTAAGGTCTACCCCATGTTTATAATTTATGTCTTCAGACACATTCCCCTTATGTTCTAGGAGTATTGTTCCTGGACGTTCAATCCTACAAATCTAGGTGTTACCCCCTACTAACATTAGTAGGTGTTACCCCCTACTAACTTAAGTAGGTGTTACCCCCTACTAACATTAGTAGGTGTTACCCCCTACTAACATTAGTAGGTGTTACCCCCTACTAACATTAGTAGGTGTTACCCCCTACTAATGTTAGTAGGGGGCAACACCTACTTAAGTTAGTAGGTGTTACCCCCTACTAACATTAGTAGGTGTTACCCCCTACTAACATAAGTAGGTGTTACCCCCTACTAACATTAGTAGGTGTTACCCCCTACTAACATTAGTAGGTGTTACCCCCTACTAACATAAGTAGGGGGTAACACCTACTAACTTAAGTAGGGGGTAACACCTACTAACTTAAGTAGGGGGTAACACCTACTAACTTAAGTAGGGGGTAACACCTACTAACTTCAGTAGGGGGCAACACCTACTAATGTTAGTAGGGGGTAACACCTACTAACTTCAGTAGGGGGTAACACCTACTAACTTCAGTAGGGGGTAACACCTACTATCATTTCCTCCATCATGTTCTTATTAGTGGTATCTATACATAGAAACTGGTTTTCATTTCATTTATCCTTTTAACTTCATTTCGTACAGAATAAATAGATGTTATGTTGGTTTTTTCTGTTTGCTACTGGTATAAATATCATTACATTGAATTGTATTTGCGAAACTCTCTTAATTCCAGTTCAAGACATATGTAAATTGGACCAACCTGACCATATGGAGTAGCATTGCCCGTAGGGTTGGCTAGCCAGCTTAGTTAAGAGTTTTGCTTTTAAGGTCTATTGGCTGGCCTTAATTCAAATTGAATCGTAGAAACCTTGACCATCAAGGGTTAGGACTGGTATATTATCCATGCTCTTTTGGCCTCTAGGTCTTGAAATCATTGAGTAAAGACCTTAAAAGTTTGTTGGATAAGCATGTAATACATTATATAACTATGTATTGTAACTTTGATGTTCTTCTTTAACTCTATCTATCTAATTGATGCGCAGAATGTAATTAATATAGTAACTTTGGTGTTCTTATCTAACTTTATCTATTTATCTGTTTGTATATTTCTTATATGTTACATCTTAGGTTGTTGGATAAGCATGTAGTACATAATATAACTATGTTTTGTAACTTTGATGTTCTTTAACTAAATATATTTGATCGTATATATCTTATATTATATGTTACATTGTAGGCTGCTGGCATTCCCAAAAAGCTTGCACGGACTATCGGCATTTCTGTGTGGACAATTCATCTGGAAATGTGGAAAAAGTTAAGTTTTCTTTAACATTTCTTATTTAAACTTAAACTGTTGATTTGACTTGTTAAAGACATTTTGAACCTACTGTGACACCCTCTGTGACAGCCACTGAAACAGCCTTTTCTCTCACCTATTCCCAAGAATTTTTTACTGTACGATTTAGCTGTGAAGTACTCTAAGTGGTCTACAGATTAAAAAAGTGGGGAGTAATACTATTGCTTGTGCCCTGCATATTTTATGTTTTTGATTCCAAAGACCAAGTAAGCTTTCACTTTTTTAACTCTTTTTAAAATTTTGATTTGATGTTTCTGTTTGAAGGGGGGCTGTGGCAGTGCCTCTGCAGCAGACTCTCACCTAACTCCTTTTAGACCTATAATCTAACATTTTTTATTTCTTATTTTCTCTCTCACCCCCTTCTTATATTGTCCATCTTTCTCATTTTTTCTTTCTTCTCTCATCCTGTTCCTTCTCATGGATACTCTACTTCTGGTATGATTTTAATTTATTTCTTCTCTCCCTCTTTTGTATGCCAACTTCTATGTCTCTTTTTTTATTTTTTGGGTGTTGGATATATTCAAGCATATGATGCTCTTGCTGATGCATTCTTGCCATGAGATTCAAATTTGTTTTAATGTTTCTTCTTTTCTGATATGGTTGCCTCTTAATTGAGTTCGTTGAGTTCTGCCCCATGATGGCACCATTCCTTGATTGCAATGTGGCAGGTAGGAACCAGAACCTTGCACATGATGTATTCTCTTGAACCAATGCAAGTGTAAACAACAAATCTCCATGCATATTTTACGGTTTTGCTTGAAGCAGACATGATGATTTCTGATATGGTTGCCTCTTAATTGAGTTTTGCCCCATGATGGCACCATTCCTTGGTTGCAACGTGGCAGGTAGGAACCAGAACCTTGCACATGATGTATTCTCTTGAACTGATGCAAGTGTAAACAACAAATCTCCATGTATATTTTACTGTTTTGCTTGAAGCAGACGGGATGATTTCTGATAAGGTTGCCTCTTAATTGAGTTCTGCCCCATGATGGCACCATTCCTTGGTTGCAACGTGGCAGGTAGGAACCAGTCGCACGAATACATGTATTTTTGTATTATTTTTAAAGTTGCCTCAAGGATCAATGAAAATACTAGAAAATGCAGTTAGGACTTTGTTTGTTGAACACCCTGTTAGAAAATAGCCCACTAACACTTAGTGTAACTATTACACCATCTCAATCAATTTATTTTATTTTTTAAAATATTGTCTTCTCATTGGTTCCATTCATTGTCTTAGGTTGCTGCATTTATGGTCGGAATGGCCATAGGTGCATTTGTAATTTTTCGCCTCACGCCGAAAGATCCACCTCCACCATCTCCACCAACTTTAGATGCATTATTCAAGCAGCAGCCTCCACTCTCAGTGGAGATACAGCTGCCGCCTCAGCTGTCATTTGAGATGCTGCCGCCTCCACCACCTCCACTGCCCCTTTAAGACAGAACATGAGAGCTTATCAATCAAAAGATAACACAAATGATTGACTAATTTGGCTTTCTTCTGATACAATCTCAATCTTTTGCATGATGGATTTCTAGTTGCAAAATTTTAGTAATACAGGCTAATTGGAGTTTCACAAGAGCTAAGGGGGTGGGATAGAGTTGAGCTGGAGTAATCTGGTTGTCCAGTCCAGTGACATACATCCCTGTTAATATACTCAAATTTGCAACAAGAACCACCACGGTAACAGCAAAGTGAGCGTTCACGAGAACGACGACAAAGAGATAATCTTGGTTAGTGATGAAGTTTAAGAATCAAATTGCTTCTCAAAACTTTTAGTAGCGTTGATTTAATTAGTAACAGTAAACCTCTTTCAATATGGATGGACTGTGTTTTCTTTGATTTAAACAAAGAGATATTATAGCAACTATTTCTGAATGTAAATTTTACAAGGCAGAAAAACTCACATTCCACCAGAATGATTGAGCAGCAATTTCAGTTAAAACACATGGTTTTTCAGTTAAAACACATGGTTTCCCCCCCCCCCCCCCCCCCCATATATATAAATATGGCATAACGGCCCAAAAACCCACCAGAAAGTTTCAAAAGGTTAACAACATTCTCCATACAGTCGTGACAAGGGCGGAACCTCACAACCAGGTAATTACTTAAAGTTGTGTACATTATATTTGGTAACTAGTTATTTATGAAATCAAGCATTTTCTCAATTCCAAGTTATTCATTTTTAGGTCATTCTCCACCCTGAACAAGACATAGTTCTCAGTATCTGAGAGAATGCAAGACTGCAGGGATTTCCTGATTGCTATAAACTTTGTGGCCCTATCAAAGAGAGGTATGTCGACTAACATACGGCACCGAAGCAGTCATCCCAGTAGAAATACGGGAGCCGACGAGACGTATAGAGGAACCCCTAGACGAGGAAATGAACGACGAGGCACTTAGAGCCGAGCTGGACCTCGTCGACGAGATCCGCTCCGAAGCAGCCCTTAGAGAAATATCTCTCAAACAAAAAATAGTCTTGCGCCACGACGCGAAGGTCATAAAAAGAGAGTTCCAGGTGGGCAGCCTGGTCCTCAAAAGAAACCAAAATAACCCAAGAAAGGGTAAAATGGCTGCCAACTGGGAAGGCCCCTACCGCGTCCGCGACAAGACGAGCAACAGGGCATACTATCTAGAAAACCTACAAGGCGAAGAACTCGCTCGACCATGGAACGCAAAGAAACTTAGACAATATTACAGCTGAATATGTCACGGGGAGACATGGGAGGTACAACCATGCTCTTCACCACCAGGAAACCCCATTCCGACTAACATACAGCACCGAAGCAGTCATCCCAGTAGAAATACGGGAGCCGACGAGACGTATAGAGGAACCCCTAGACGAGGAAATGAACGACGAGGCACTTAGAGCCGAGCTGGACCTCGTCGACGAGATCCGCTCCGAAGCAACCCTTAGAGAAATATCTCTCAAACAAAAAATAGTCTTGCGCCACGACGCGAAGGTCATAAAAAGAGAGTTCCAGGTGGGCAGCCTGATCTACGTTTTGTTTTCTTCTTTGTAGAATATGCAGTAGCAGGTTGTTGGGGATATGGATCTGAATGAAGAACAACTTTTTAAATACTTAAAAGATAAGTGAATGCTGACATAGTCTGGTGCCTCCCTAGTGAAGTACTCCCTAGTGAAGTACTCCCTAGTGAGGTTACTATTGTATGTGTTCACGATAGATCCACGATAGACTGAGTTTTCATAGAACATGACTTATTTTGAGTTCATATTCTAATTTTCGTCTCCCGTCGCCCACTTTACAATATACTTTATTTTCTGGTAAACATACAATCTATCGTGAGCGCATATTCTAATTTTCGTCCTGATCTGATCCACACTAGTTATCAAATAAGACAGTCTGTCTTCTTCAATAGCATTAATTCGGGGACCACCATGGTTTGGCATAGGGTTTTTATTGACATTGGGCGGCGGTGCAAAATTCAGAGCCTTGGAGTCTACCAAGTCTTGTACCTTCATATGCAGAGCCCTGCATTTTTCTGTACTGTGACCAGGTGCGTTTGAATGGAAAGCACACCTAGCATTAGAGTCATAGTTCCTTGGTAGACTGTTGGGATCCGGAGGTGCCAACGTTCTTAGCTCAACCAGGTTGAGTTTCAGAAGTTGTGGCAGCAAGGCAGCATACGGCATTGGGATCGGGTCGATCACTCGGTTAGCCTGGGATGGCCTCTGTTGGAATGGCCTTTGTTGATTGCTGTTGGTGTTGTTGTTGTTGTAGTTCCTTGGAGGGTACTGATTCTGATGATACTGAGGTTGTTGTTGGAAGTTTTGTTGCGGAGGTTGATAGACTGACTGAGGATGAGCTGGAGCAGGGATAGTGACTGCTGCTATTGACCTTTGAACATATTGGGGCCTACCCCTGTTGGTGTGAATGGAATTGGTCTCGCCAGTTCTTCTCGGGCCTGCAAAAGGCTTTCTTGTACTACTGGACGAGCTGGCACCATTATCAGAGATCTTACCCATTTTTAACAGGCTTTCAATTCTCTCCCCAGCTATGACAACGTCTGCGAAGCTAGTGGAGGAGAAAGCGGCCAACCTGTCAATATACGTTCCCTGAAGAGTGTTTATAAACATGTCTGCCATTTCTCTTTCAGACATAGGGGGTTGAACAGCAGCAGCCAATTGCCTCCATCTCTGGGCATATTCTCGGAAACTTTCCCTTGACGACTGTGACATTCCCATCAGGAGGGTCCTATTGGGTGCCATGTGTTGCACCCCAAAATTTGCCCTCACAATACAAGACTTTGTGTTCTAAGAAGGTTCACAAGGTTCACAAGTTCTCCAACAACTTGCATAACCTTTCATGAAGTTCATAAAGTCCACAAGCTACTTTATGAAGGTTCACAAGGTTCACAAGTCCCACAGTGCTTTCAATACCTTTCATGAGGTTCATGAAGTCCATAGGTTGCTTCTTGAAGGTTCACAAGGTTCACAAACTTCTCAACATCTACAAGACCTTTCATGAGGTTCATGAAGTCCATAGGTTGCTTCTTGAAGGTTCACAAGGTTCACAAGATTCACAATGTTTACAAAGCTTTCCTAAGGGTCATGAGGTCTACAAAGCCACTTCATGATGTTCACAAGGTTCACAAGCTTCACAATACCTCCCATGAGTATCACAAGATATCTTATGAAGATTCACAAGGTTCACAAAGTTCACAATTGGTCAGAAGAGTTGACAATTCCCTCAGACAATGCACCTCCTAAGCAGTGCATCCAAAACTAGGGTTTTGACTTTAATCAGGCTAAATGGACTTCCAAGACTTCAAGTGAGCTTCATAACATCTTATATGTGTATAAGAACCCCCATATCAAGTTTCAAGACTTTTCTCAAAAGTTTGCTCAGTCAGATGATCAGATAAGTCAAAAGCAGTCAATGCAGTTAAAAAGTCAAACTGAGGTCAACTGTGGTCAAACCAAAGTCAAACTTCATGATTTTTTGCCAACATCAAGTATATGAAGTAAAATTCATCATTTGATCAAGGGTTGATCATGATTCATCAAGGAGATTCCATATCATCAATAATCAGGAGTTTCTAAATTAGGGTTTCCTCAGTAAAAGTCAACTGAACTTTGACCAGGCATAACTTTCACATACTTCATCACCAAGTCTCCATCCAAAGCTCATTTTGAAGGAAATTGAATTCTCTACAACTTTGATGTTGAAGGTTAAGCCCAAAAATGCTTTATTTGAAAGATATGATCTAAGACATTATAGGTCATTTCAAAAGTCAACAAAAAGTCAACAACTTCAAAAGGGCATAACTTGAGATTGGTAAATGATATGGACCTGAAACCAATGGGGTTGTTTAGAGGACTCTTCAAGCTTTCCAAAAAGTCCAAGAACACCATCATACCTTTAAAATTGAGAGAAATGTGCCCTTGCAAAGTTGGGCAATTTTGTGATGGTTTATGTTGAAAATGGAGGCTTAGAAGTATTTCTTTCCAAATGGGCTGCCTAATTTATGACCCAATCCATCTCATAACATGGTGCACGACCCAATTGACCAAAATTCATCATTTTTATTATTTTTTATTTATTTATTATTGATTTAATTCATAAAAATCATTTTAAATAAATAAAAAATATAAAAATCTATTTTTGGGTGAAGATTTTGTTTCTAGAAATTCATAATCATTGATTGAATTAGAATGAGAAGGAAATCATGTGATCTCTCCCAAAATAGCAAGCACTCATGATCAAATATTTGAAATTTATACAATGATCTTTTTGAATATTTTTTGGATCAAATATCCACACAACACATCAATGTTTCTGACCTAAATCCATCACACATATATACTAAGCACAAACCCTAGCCTCATTCACGAAATCAAGCAGCTCATAGGTAAGTTCAAAGTTCAAAAATTCAAGGAAAAAGTGGAATTCGGATTCTCTTATCCAAGGCTCTACAAGGTAAAACAAGCACATAGCAAGCTTCCTGGGACTTCTCTGGTCATGAACCATTAATCATATGCATCTCATGTGTACCCTATGGCTCTACCCGAACTCATCTTTGCCTTGAACTTAATTTTTTCGAATCCATCAATATATGTATTATGAATTGTTTTTGATGATTGATTTGTGTTTATTTTGATCCCTAGAACGATTCTGGATAGTTGGATTGAAGGATGAGAGTCTAAAACAGAAACGGCCATGGTTAGGGTTTGAACCTCCAAATTAGGGTTCATCAATTCACCAAATATAAATGAATTTGGAGAACATAGAGATGTTGTATGGACTGTGTGGATCATAAAACATTAATTAATTTCATGAATCGACACTGTTTTGTTGGAGTTTGGTTTTCGCAGGTTCGCAACAAGGAAGAACACGCAGGAGATTTCGCAGGTAAAATTGCAACTGATTTCGCAGGTAAATTGGAGAAGAAGAAGTCCTATGGCACGCACTCTGATATTTGAATATTGTTTTAATAATTTTATTATATTAACGTAAATTGATATCATCAAGGCAACATTGGTCTGGTGGTAAAGCGCATATGTGTATCATGGAAGGACCCTAGTTCGAGTCCTGGCTAGTGCATTGTTTTTGTGCTATTTTTCAGGTAGCGAAGAGGCTTAATATATTATGATATGTGGTCATCACATTACCAGATAGGCTCTCCCAGCCAGGTGGTAACGCGCGCATGCTATCATACATAAGGTCCTGGGATCAAAACCTCCCCAGGCCTTTTGTTCTTTTATTTTTTCTGGAATTTTCAAGGACAAGGCATAAAAGCAACCATGCGTCATTCATTCTCACCTGCGCCTGGCTGGCCTGGTGGTTCTTGTTGCTGCCTGCAAGTAAGAGGTCCTGGGATCAAATCCCATCAGGTTCCTTTTCTTCCTTTTTTTTTTTTTTTTTTTTTATTTTCTTGTTTTCCATTTAATTTAATTAATTTAAATGTTATTATTTTCTATATCATAATATGTATATATAATATATAATCTAATTGCTCTTAAAATAATTTTCTAAAAAAAAAAAATATAAAACTCTTGTTTTTTTTTATTTAAAATTTTATTTGTATAGTTTATATTAATTAAAATAATGTTATGTGATTATTAAAAATAAATTTTTGTATATATATAAACCCTAATTCTTACAAACCCTAAAAATTATTTTCTAAAAAAAATAAAACCTAATTTTAATTTTCTATATAATTCTATGTATATATTTATTATAATTCTTGTAAATTTTTGTAAATAAAATTAAACCTTATAAATACTTAATGTAAAATTTTGTGAATGTGATTATTGATTATTTAAAATTTATTTTCATCATAATGTGTAAATATTTTTCTTAATAATTGTTAATATATAATTAGAGATAATTAAATTTTGTAAATGATTAAGAAATTTATAATTATGTTATATTTAGAACTTTATATTATAGTAATTATTTAATCATTTATGTTTCTAAATAAAAATCAAATTTTATGTTTAATCACGTTATTAATTAATTATTATTGCTAATCATATTTTGTTGCTTATTATTATTTTGAAATTTCTATCTTATTATTTTTTCTAACTTTGTCTATTTTTCTAATTATTATTGTTTCAACTAATTATTTTCACTAACTTTATATTTCTAATAACCTTATTTAATTTTTCTTATTATTTACTAACCCCAATATTTTATTTACTTATTTGTTATTTTTTTTATTATATTTATTTTGATTATATTTTACTATTTATTTTATTTATTATAATTTTGTAATTGCCTCTTGGATGTAAATTGTAATTATTTAATTATTATTATCATTATGGTTAGTAATTAGGGAGTGCTAATATGTATGATATTTAAAAAAATAAATTAGATCATTTTAATATAAGATAATTAAATTAAACATTTCACACACGTAAGTCGATTTTAATCGCCGTCTCACTTCCTAAGGATATCCCTCAAGTTGCCTATGAATATTGGTTAAGTGGGGTGTATAAAGCAAGTCCCTCAAAAAGAAAATCATCAAAGTCCCTTATGGTTGCCTTTACGAATCGAGTCCCTTTCGAAAAATGATGATAGTCCCTCCAGTTTGCTTATTACACCCCACAATGGCCTTCAAAAATCCAATTGTCCCTCACATGTCCCTTAACATCCAAAGTAAGGACTACCTACTCCATTATAGTAGGGATAGTCTTACTAAGGAAAGGATAAAGAATAAGAAAGACCTTAAAACATTAGGGTAGGCTACTCCTAGATACTTGCTCACTTCAAAACTTTTTCACACTTAAACAAATTTCCAACAAAATTTTCAAACAAGTTTTTTTCACATCCATACACGGATTATTATTAAACTATTCTGAAATTTTTTGCTATTCACACACTACACTTTCAAAACAATTCAAAAGTGAGCTTAAGTACCTAAGAGCCCATGGATAACCATGGATGAAAAGGGTGCTAACACCTTCCCTTTTCATAACCTACCCCCCGGACCCAAAATATTCTCTAAGGTCTTTCCTGTTCTTTTATAACCTTTCCTTATGGATAAAATAAAAGTCGGTGGCGACTCTTGCTATCCGCAACATTGTTTAAAGTCAGTTCTCCCACCGTGTTACAGAACTGGCGACTCTGCTGGGGATCTATTTAAGAGGGGTACCCTTAGGAATTAAGATCACTTTAAATTGTTTGCCTT